ATTGTTTAAGCAAGTGATTACGTACCTACAACAACTATATAATACTGCTTACTGTGTGTTTAAAGGTACATAAGTTGTATTACAGCATATATATGCTTTCCCATTTAATTGTTCATTCAACATTGTTTTTTGAGATTTACCCACATTACTATCTCTCCATCTATGTAGGGATTTATATCTGGCTCACTAATTTTAAACTCCCATATATTATTTCATTAGGAATAAACCACATTTTATTGAGTTGCCTTACCTATGGACACTTAGGTAACTCACAGTTTTTAAAAGCAGGGGTGCAGTAAAAACCTCTGTGTGTGTCTGCCTGCTACCGCATGAAGGAGTTTCTCTAGGTAGGAGAGACACTTAGACATGGTTTTGTTGAATATGCTCAACTTCATCTTTCCTAGATATTCCCCATTTTTTTCCCAAAGTGGTAACACCAATGTACTCTCACAAGCAATATTAAAGCATTCCCCATTCTCCATACCCTCATCAATATGTGAAAATATGAGAACTTATTAATTGTGTCAAAATGAAGGTTATGGAGTGGTAACTAAGGGTTACACTTAGTAGATATTTCCCTGAGGTCCCTTTCTGGTCATATTATTGTGGTCACCACATCAATGCCAGGTCTTATCAAAATAAAATAAAGGATGTGGAAAAAAACCTTCTTCCACAGTTTATATTGAATTTACTTTTCCTCAAGAAATGTCTTTCATGGCTAATGCTGGCCATGAACCCATAAATCAGGCCATTAAAGAGGAATGGGGACATGGCCCTAGCTCTGTATTTATTTTCTTGTACTCATAATCCAATGTTACTTAAAAAGCAAACTGCCCAGTATGCAAGCCAAAGCAAATACTCGGGATTTTGCCAGGCAAAATGCCTGTGGAGAAATGAGTCAATTCATACAAAATTCAAAGCTGTCTTTGGTCAGCGACATTTTCGTGAAAATCTGTGGGTGGGTAAAAGTTTTGCAAAATTCCTTTTTGCTATTGGATAAAATTCATCCAGGAAAAATAAGCAAAATTTAAGTGGCGACCCACATTCCCCTTAATTCCCTTATTAACACTCCCAAATCTCCCAGCACAACTGCTTTCTGTTGCGCACGAAGGAAGCCATTAGTGTTTCTGATACTGGCAACAGAATCCTGTCCCTCTCTGCTTACTCTGCTTGGATTAGATAGGCTTTCTCATGAGACGTACTGGCTGACTGAACAAGCTTCAGCTCATTCAGAGCACACCTTCCCGGGAATGCTACCCTGGCACTGCAAACTCTTCCCCTTAATCGCAAAAAGACCTACAGTAAAAACACTCATCAGCATACGCTCCGTTGGAACCATTACTATGGATACTGTTAAGGATGGTTAGTGTACATCTACAGTTTTGAGTGACACTTTTAGGAACATGAAACAGGAGCTAAGGGAAAAAATTCAGAGACTCCCAGACTTCTTCTGGCTTGGAAATTTGAAACCTTATCATCTCAGAAAAACATAATTGACTTCAGCACAATTATACACAGAAATGCTCAAAAATTCTATTAATTCCAAGACTCATCAATGTTGGGGTTTATCTAAGTTCAATAAGGTCTAAACAGAATGATTTTGTACCTAGAAATTACTTGAGCTAATAGACAGCAGTGAATGGACACCAGTATTTTTAATATAATATTGCCATATTTTAGTTTCTGACTTGAGGTCTGCCTGTCTGCCCAAGAGGACTTTACTTCTCAAGGCCTTTGCCATTGGCTAGGAAGACCTCTGTAATCAAGGCAAGGCCTGCACAGAGAGCACCTGGTTTGGCTTTCCACAGAAGCAATAAGAATGAGATCTACAGAAGGGTGGAGTTGCCTGGGTGGGAAAGAGAAAAGAAACAATTCTCTTCTTCCACTAAGTTACCCAAATAATACATTAACAATTCTACCCCAGTTCTGCCACCTAGAATCTTAAGAGATCTGAATCCCAGAGTTCAGGGTAAGGCTGAGAAGTTACAGTCAGAGATTCTGAGGATGCACTGTCCCATGCATGAAATAGGATTTGGCACCAAGGGAGGGCATGAGTGGTAGCTTCTTACTGTACACAGGGCTACAGTCACTGAGTAGCCCTTTCACACTCCCTTCTCCTATCACAACTCCCAGAAGCTCACTGTGCTGCTTGTAGCCCTGGTCACAAAACACAATTGGGTCATCACATCTTTCTTGGGTCAATAAGCTAAGTGAGTGAAAATGATGACTGACTGTAAGTATGGTCCACAGAAAATTAATAGCAGTGAAACATACGTAAAACAAAACTGGACTGGGTCTTATAATTCAAAGTGATCCAAGTGTTTGCAGCATGTGACACAGCCACAAAAACCCAAAGATCACTTCATGTCTCCAAAAGAAGAATGTGGTCATTTTACTTGGCAAGAATCTTGAGCTTTAAATCAACTACCACCAGATTTTCAAAGCAGTAGGAGATGAAACATTTCAGTTTTAACAGTTCTTTGTGTCTGAAATCCAAGAGTGTAAAGATTGGTTTTACAAAAGGCAGAAAAATGCATCTTTTTCAGATGTGCATTTACATTCAATACAATGTCTTCCATCAATAGATCACAACTTGAGAAGCCTGTTAAACTCTCATGGTAAAGTTATTTGTTGCCAGTTAGCTATAGCCCTACAAATTAAGCAAATGACATGCAGCAACAGTCTTCATACATAAATATTCATGATATGATATGATATGATATGTATGTGTTAATATGAAAATGGATGTCTTCCTGCAAAAAATATATTAGTCAACTCCTAAGAAACCCTGTTTTATATAAATACATTTGCACTAAAACATGCATAAGTAAATGCTTTGTGGTTCTAAATTTGATATGGAATTAAATCTAATAATCTGAATTTTGCCAAGATTCCATTCAGAAGTGGGGAGTGGGCAGACTAAGGGAAAGAGAAATCACCTCCCATACCTATCCTGAACAATACAATGAAAAACTATGTAGAAGCCTGCAAACATTCACTTCACAGCTTATTCTTTCACTAAGTATTCCTATTTTAATAGTCATGCACTTCTGCAAAAGTCAGCTGTCACAGAGCATGTGTAAAGGACACATGGAAAAGCCAAAGAAGGGGTAGGATCAAGGGTGGGAGGTGGGGATGGCTGGGGTGGGGGGACGTGGTGGGGGGAAAATGGAGACAACTGTACTTGAACAACCATTTTTTAAAGAAGAGAGGAAAAAACAATAACATGTTTCCAATCCATAAAAACAAAAGTCAACTTGCTGTATGCCTCTGCAAGCTCTGAGAACGGTAAAAAATGGAGAAATCCTATTGCACAAAATTAATTTTTCAATGCAAAAAATTATTTTTTCAGATAATTTAAAGCTTTTTTTTTTCAGTAAAGCCAAATCCACCAAACTATTTTCAGCCAGGATTAGTCATAACTAAAAGGTTGGACTGTTTTCACTCAGAGACTGAATGTCTTTCCTGCCTGCAATAGGCCTGTGTGTTCCAAACAGAGTAAATGGAATTGCCTTCAATTGCTTGTCTCTTTCTGGCATTTTTTTAACGCAGAACCCTACTGACAGAAAAAGGTTTTGCTGCCTGGAATGCAATTATTCTTTTCACTCATATAACCTGGCATTCTCACAATGTATCAGCTTCAGGTTTTCCTTCAGAAAAATCACAACATGGGGCATAATGTAATGACAAGAAATGAAATTTCATCCAGCCAGAAATTCTTAAAACTCAACATACCTACTGGATGGTATCAAGTGCTTCTAATACTTGCACTACAGCTATTGTCCAATTGGTTTGCTTTTATATGAATCAGACAACTTGGTCAATCTTTAATCAAACTTAAACATATTCCAGATCTTTGTCATCAAGACATACTACAGAAAGAAGAAATTCTGCCTGGGCGACCCCAATCTCACTGAGTTCCTTCTCAAAATTTTTACATATTTTACACATTTAGTGACCTATAGCATATTCAATATCTGGGGAGAACCTACAATTCTCAGATTCTAACTCTAAAAGAAATAATCCTGTCAATCTAAACTAATATATTATAAAATGCATGCTCTTTTTTTTCCCCCAAGAGTTAAGTGAACAGTCTGAGATTGTGCAAAGCTGCCCTGTGATCCCAAGGGTGATGTCCTGCTTACAAACACTGAGGGTTTCTGTTAGGTGTGAAAAGATTGTGAAATCATGTAAAAGTCATATCATTAAAGATAGTCAATTTTGCCAGGAAAGAGATAGTTCCAGGATGGATGTTGTGACAGGGGAGGCAGAGGAAAAAGAGACACCATGCGTACTTCCTTCAACACCAAAGGACATTCCTCTCTTGGTTCTTTCTCCTCTATCTTTCCACAAAATTCTGTCTCCTTAAAATTCAGTGAGATCCTGTGAGATTCTGCCCCTGTGTTATCCTTTGGGTGTTTATGCTGACTATAAATCATTAACTAGTCCCACATCCCTGGAGTATGCAGTGTGCAGGCAGGTGAGAGAGTACATGCAACGCATTTTTACTAGCCAAGCTGCTAAGTGTGAGTTCCTTTCCAAATATCAGAACCACTCCTCCTCTAGCCCCAATACCAGCCTGGTTATTAGAGAGAGAGGGAAAAATCACTGAATATTTGTTTTGGAAAAGACATAAAGCTTGCTGCTGTGCAGTGTGTGTTCCTCTGCCCTGCACATTTCAGCAACTTCACGTTGGTGCCCAGTAAGCATCTATTTTCCAAGATTTTGGACACTGTGGCAGATCAGCTTCTCAGATCAACGACATAGTGGATCATTTACATTTGCAGAAGAGAATCAAACAGTGAAGGGATACCCAACAGCTAATAATTAAAGAAACTTCCCCCTTCCTCAGACTGAAGAGGAGTCAAAATTTAATGGATACTTAGAGTTGCTCATGTCATCCAAATTCCATAAAAGGAGAAATGTCCCCTGACGTGTGGGCCAACTCTGGAAAAACACATACACTTTCCATGGACTCCCACAGGCTTTGGAAAACTCACCGTACACTTGTTAGGCTTCTCTCCGGAGTGGACTCTCATATGGATCAGCAGTTTATAGCGGGCATTGAATGGCTTGTACCTTCGAGGACACCCTGCCCAGAAGCAAGTGAAGTCTTCCCCTTTGCGCTGGTCTATGTGTACCTTCTCGATATGCCGCACGAGTTCCTCCTGCTGGTCATACAAGGCGCTGCAGTCGATCCAGCGACAGCAGTGCTTGCCCCCGAGGTCGTCCATCTCCCCATCCTCCTCCAAGGTAGTCTGGGACAGGGCCAGCGTCTGGGCATGGGGGACCAGCTCCTGGTGGTGCAGGTGCGGATGGGCGTGGTAGGGGGGTGGAGGGCCTTGGGGCAGTGGTGGCAGAGGAGGCGCAGGGGGCAGATCTAGAGCTGCACTGGGGAAATCATCCAGGCGCTCTGTCTTCAGCAGGCCGGCTGGCTGGCCATCGGAGCCTGGCAGGCCATGCTGCACCACCATGTTGTTGACCACACCAGGCTGAAGGCCGCCGTGTTCCAGCTGCTGCATGCGCTCATACTCCAGCGTGCTGTCCTCCCCATAGGCCGGGAGTGCCAGGCCACCGCTGGCCACCCGTACACCCTTCTGGCCATTAGGCACAGAACACGGCTGGGGGATGCAGCTACCGCGCACTCCCAGGAAATGCCCATAGACCTCAGGCTGCGGCGACATGTTGGCCGGGGAAGCCCTCGACCCATTGATGTAGGCAACCAAGGACGTGGGAGAGGTACGAATGATGGTATTGAAGTCTATCCCAATGCCATCGGACAACGGGGACAAGGAAAGTGCTCTCTTCTTGGAGCGGGCTGAGTGAGATCTGGCTGAAGAGTGTCGGGGACTAGAGTAAGGAGAGTGGCTATTTTCCATGCCAAAAAGGTAGGAGGGCAATGAGTTAGACACACTGTTGTTGGACATGGCTGTCCCAGGAGGGAGGCTGAGGTGGTCCCCTAGATCGATGCCATTCTGAGAGCTGTGACTGGCGGAGAGTGCCGGGAGAGCCCTGTAGCCGTGAGACCACTCTTGTTTCACGCTCAAAGCGGACTGACTTTCTGTCAGGCTCAAAGTCGAGGATGCCAAAGACTCACGTGAAATAAGGGACCTGGAACAGCAGCCAGAAAGGAGGAAAAAAAAAAAGGCAAACATTTTAGCAGGATATAGATTGCTTAAAAGCTAAAAGAACATTGCACTGACAATCCCTTAAGTATTTCCCCTAATTACATTGTCGGCTAAACACACATTCTTTGGCTAAGATAACACCAAGGCTTTTAGTTCCAGGTAAATAACATTTTACCAAGAACAATAAAGGCTAATGCTCACTGGACTAATAAAACAAAAGATCTATTGTTATAAATAATCTTAACACTTTAACGATAATAAATAGTCCTTGTTTTATTTTTAAACTTTTTAATGTAGGGGGAAAATTAGAGACCTGAGAATAATTATTGATGCCTGACATGGCAAACTAAATAAGCAAGTTCTTATTAAGCACCTTCTGTGTGCAACACACCACAAATAGGCATTGTAGGGCATGTAAGTCTAAACAGTGCCCCAGTCTTTGACCAAAATCAACTTGGTGAGGTAAAACAAAAACCTATGCTTGATTTGAAAAAAAAAACATAAATCCTCAAAGTCAAAGGGCCATCCAGGATACCTAGTAATCGTTTCTTAACTTTGCAGTAATTCCTCTCCTGTTCTCCTTGCCCTTTTTCAAAACATACCTCATGTCACAATATTTACGTGCATATCAAGATGATTTGTAATGTAGTCTGGACACTTTAAAATTCATTTTGCTTTGTGATGACATTGTTGCCTTAAAACTGACTGAAGAGAAAAGCTTTGTCCCTTGGATGGAAAATTTGTCACAAAGGCTAGACATATCTCACTGTATTTTTCAACTCAGATATGGGGCATATCAGAAAAACCTGGTTTATTTATATGTACCTGCATTTGTTTTTTGCAGAAACCTTTTTTTCTTACAAAAAATAATAATAAAAATATATAAATGTCTTCCCAGAACAAACCCATATACTACTTCCAGCTGCTGAACAGCCACCCTGTTGCAAAGGAACTGAGGGAAAAAGAAGCACTCTCATCCCTTCTGTTCTTCTTGCTCCTTTTTACAGAATGGAAGCCAGGAGCACTGTTTCCTGCAGGCATGAGATATCAGCCAGAAAATATCTCAGCTCCGAAGTGCATTGTATAAGGTGATAGATAACACCATTGTGGATATGATGTTTCCATCAGGTGAAGTAATGTTTACCAATGACAAACGCACAAAGAATTTATGTCCAGTTGCCCTTGACAGATTTTTTTTCTTGGTCTAAATTCTTATATTTGGGCTGAAGTCCTTTTGTAAGCCCCAAAGTGATTTCTGAGCCATCTGTTTTTTAATTCCCCATGGACACTTCAATTATTTTCCCAGCATACCCGCAGCATGCAGCTCTCCCTGCAGAGCTCAGCTGAAGGTTCCTGGTGATAGAATGTCAAGAACCTTTTGGTCTCTTCCCCAGGGAGATCCAGGAATTACATTCTGACCCAAGCCAAATCAGTAGTTATGTTGTGCATGAGGCAGACATCCTTTGCTTTACACCCTGAGGTTGAGAAAGTTTATGGAGCATTTTCAAATGATGCATTTGCCTGGTCACTGTCACTCTGGAGTGTTTCAGATTTTTAGGCAGTGAATAATAGCAGGTGGAAAGCATTTTATCTACATGTATGTACTTTGTATATTATGTTATTTGGTTTGAGGACAGCCTATGTTGAGACATATTTATTTGTTCCATTGTCCAGGGATGTTTCATACTTTTCTCAAGTTATGCCTGACTATAGCTCAGTTTATATTTGAGCATAACCCCATGTAGTCATGTTAACTCCTCAACATCAGTTTTCTAAGACAGTTATCATATATGTTTCAGGAAGGAAAGTCTCTATTCTACTCTATTCTATTCACTAAGGCAATTATATACAGAAAACTCTCTTTTTTATTTCAAACAAGTAATAAAAACAAAACTTCCAAAAACATAGGCCTTGGGACCTGTAGCCCTCATCCCTCCTGTGCAATTACCCAGATCTTCTATCTTTCAAAGTTCTAGTCCATGAAATCTCCCCCAAATATGCTAGCTCTCAGTGATAGTCCTCTTTCCAGAGACGTAACATATTGTCTGTACTGCACCTTAAGCATAACTTCCTCAACACAATTACCATCTTCAATAAAATTCAAAGCCTTTCCACAGAACAAAGCATTTTTATCTCCCCCAGTACTCACCAGAGTGTTAGATACATAATAAGTTTTTAAAAAATTGTTGATTAAGAGAGTGAACAAATAATCAATATAATAACTAACCATCTTTTATAGCTTGCAAAGCATTTTCCCTATACATTTATTATTTTATTTGATACAGCCTGTGAGGTAAATAAACCAGATTTTTAAAATAATTTCTACTTAAGGACCAAATTTCTTACAGAACTACAAATGAGGCAGCATTTGATAGGCAGTCACCTAGCTGGACCACATACATCCTCTGTGCCCCACATCGTATCCCACATGTGGTCCATAAGGCTCTGCTTGATTAAAGGACCTGGTACAACAGGCTTAAAGTCACCCAAGCTACAACTGGAACCCACTTTTCCTGTTCTCTTTCTGCAACAATATGTTGAATGACTGTGAAAGCTTCCAAAGGACTCTCCTGTGACCCCTGCTGCTGTGCACACCATGCCTATGGGAAGAAAAGTGACAGAGCTGTGGCTCTATCACTTTACTGAGAGCAATCTCCATTTCCATATGTTTATCTGACCCTTAGGAAATTATTTCTGGTTTGGAGCTATATGTGAAAAAAAAAGCAATATAGCTCAAACAAAATAAAACCAATACGAAAGACTCAGAAGCTACCAGTGAAACAGGTTAGGGTGGCTAGTAAAGCAAGAGTTCAGTAACTTTCATGGGACATAAAAGGAGTGATGTGAATTGCATGGTTCAAGGCCAAGCTCAAAAGAAATACTAACTTACACATCATGTGTAACTCCTCAAAACTGATGTGGTATGGTGTGTGTGTGTGTGTGTGTGTGTGTGTGTGTAGAAGGGAGGGGAGGGGAGGGGGAAGATAAGGGAGGGGAGGGGAGGGATATATGTATCTCCTATTCTATATGGAAGTTCTTGTCTATGTGCCTGGACAAATCCCCTGAAGAGTTAATACTGCATCTAAACACAGGATGGCTTTATAAAATGTCAGAACTGACAGAGAGAGAACCCTGACTCCATTCTCAGCCCCCTTGGCCTTCTCTGAGCTTTGTGACACAGCCCAACCCAAAAGGAAACCCTAGGAAATTCCATCCCTAGAAATCACCTCAATAATTTCTGGTTTAAAAGAGAAAATGTGGTGCTTTTTTGGATCTGGAATGACATTATTAGACAGATGGTTGAACTTTGTAACTGATAAACTAAGCAACATTGGGCAAAGCCCTTAGACTTTGTGTCTGAGGTCCATCATCTATAAAACAGAGGTAGTTTATAAACATTCAATCATAAAATATAGAATCACAGTGGATGTGAAAGCACTAGAGAAACTAAACATATATAAAATCTATGCAAGTATCATCCAAGCTCTTCTACTGTCCAACTTTTGCCAAATTTGTATATGAAGTGACTGTATGAGGTTATATCAGCAGCTCGGCCTTGTCACTTTAGGGAAAATATGTGCAACAGTGTCTATATTAAGAGTTTGGGCAATGCCTAAACGAAGAATGGCTCCTGGATCTTCAGGAGGGTAAGGTATAGTTTATATTTCTCATTAAGTAGGGCTAGTCAGAAATGGTTGGGAACTTAATAAAGGCAAATGTACACCATTAGGGCATGATTCTCATCATTGAGTTAAACATAACCCAACAAAGCTAAGGAAGAGTACTTTTTCCAAGATAAGCACTCCAGAAAAAAAAAAAACCCTCAAAGAAAGTAAAAAAAAGAAATAGTCTGTAAATCTATAAAAACTACTCAATGTTATCAATAATTAAGAGATACAAATTTTTAAAATGTCATTTTTCACATCATATTGGCAAAAGTAATAAAAATAATAATTCCTAGTATTTGATAAGAGAACAGGAACTCTCAGACTCTGGGTGAGTTTATAAATGGGTTCAGTCTTTTCTGCAGTGATGTTTTAAGAATACATATCAAAGCCTCAAAACTATACATTTCTAGCAAATTTTACTTCTAAGAATTTATTCTAATTACCAGGGATATGCAACAAAGTATTCACAAGATTGATTAAATAAAGTATGACTTATAACAGTAAAATAAAAGAAAAATAAATGCCCTGTAATAAAAAACTGATAAAATTATAGTTTTATTTATATACGTTTTAAATAAAATGGAATCTTGGTTAGGAAAAAGCCATTGTATGATGGTGAATATTTTCATTACAAAAGAAAGTGTTTATGTTAACTGAACAAAGTAATTATAACACTATGTAGGTTATTAGATCAACTGGGCACAAAGGAAAATCTATGCTTATAACATATGTGTTTCCACATAACTGGAAGGATGTATTTCAAAATACCACCCATGGCTGCCTATGGGTGGTCGGATTCAGGATGACTATCATTTACTGCTTTGTGCTTTTCCATATTTTCCACATTTTCTACAATGAGTAAGAATTACATAGATAATCAGGGGAAAACTAAAATTCACAGCTTTCTATAGGGTGGCCCTCACTCAGACTGCACAGTTCATGCCCTGTCTCTCCTACACTTACCCCCGCCCCCACGGAATAAAGGTAAAGCTGATACTCTCTCCATCCTTATCTCTAGAAAGCAAATGCCTTCCAGTTGAACTGCTGCTACCCCCTATCCTTTCTCTCCTCTGATAGAACACACAAACCAAGGGTCACAACTAAATGTCACCTTTCCAACTTGCTAAAACTAAGTTTCATACTTCACCAAGCCACCTTCCAACTCCTGTTTCTTTGCCTATTCTGCAAAAAAAAATATATTTCAATAGGAGAACTCACAGAATACCTAGTCAAAACACATGTCAATACATCTTTAAGATGTTGTCTTTTAACGATATAAAATTATGATAAGGAATCAAATATACCAGAAAACACTGAGATAATAACCCTTCCTTGGTCAAACCATGAAAAGAGACTGCATTAAAGTACATGGCTGGAGCAGCTTGTGCCCTGCCTACCTACCTTCAGTTTCTCCATTAATTATGGTTCTCTGACTCCAAGGCATGGGCTGGACTTGCCACCGACAGGAAGCCAAAGGCTTCCCAATGACACCTACCCAACCAGTACAGTTAATTGTACATGCAACACTCAGCAAGTCTGAGGAGTCCCTCAAGGCATAATCATCAATGGGGAAATGACAGCAGCAGCTTTCCATCACAAAAAAACCTCAGGTGAAAAACAAGTTTCCATATCATGAAAAAAACTGGCATACAAAAATAGTCCAGGACCTATAATCTCAGAGTCTCAAATAGTGGCTAAGAGGACAGTGCAGAGATACAAGAAGGGGAAGGAAGGGTAGAAGGAAAAGAAGGAAGAAAAAGAAGAAGAAACAGGATCCTAGAACTACCAGGAGCCTCAGTAGATTTCCAGCCCCCCCCACCCCACCCAAGTCCTCCTGCCCCTGCCAAGAAGAGGATGAAGAGGTCTGAAGAGTCAAATTCCTTTACAAAATCAGTTCAAACAGAGCCAGGACTAAGAGGCAAAAGCTTTGGATTGTATTCCTTCAAAAAGGCAACTTCTAGAAGGTGAAATAATTCATTTCAAACATAGGATTGGACCTTACATACTATATTGCATAGTATTTTATTTTTATGCCCCCTCCAATATGAACCTTAAGAAATATGTTTGCCTGAGGAGGTGGTTTCCCTTTTCCTATTCAATTCTCTCCCACAGAGTGATATGCAGCATTTATTAGACCTAATTATTCTGGCACCTAATCAGATACTGTGTTGAAATGTTATATAACTCATACATGAAAGTATGTCTTCCCAAACACATCACAGAGCCTTGAAATTCATTATTTCGGTCTTCATTTTTCTACTATCTCCCTAAATTTTAACTATTGTGTTATACACACATAAAGTACTTAATAGGTACTTGGGTAGATGGATAGACAGGGGAATAGGTGGACAGACATAACAGTTGTAAAGCAGCCTGGAGACAGTGCAAAATATACATTAAAAAATGAACAGGCAAGACAGATGCACATGGAACATCTCAATTCTAGGCTGTGACATGGGACTTGCTTCACCAGGAATTAACAAATTTACACCCGGGGCCTTCAGTGAGGCCCCAAAAACCTCACACTGGGCATTAATTTCACTCACACTAGAAGATGACGGGTATTAAATCATTTAAAACATTCTTCCCAATGAAGATATTATGGCACATAATTTCTGTACACATCCCCCTAAAAAAGCTCTAATTAAAAGAGTAGCTTTAGCGAGGGCGTGTGTGTGTGTGTGTGTTCAGAAAGGGAAGGGAAAACACTCATGGGGTGTGATTATACCATAAGAAGGGGGAAAAAAAGTAACTTGAGACCTGGTATCTGAAGGAGGTATATTCAGGTTGGCTGCATTCATTGCCCTCTGTAAGCTAGGACTGATCTGGTTGCATGCTGTAGAGACCTGGCTTGCTGGAGGTGAAATGGGTCCCAGTCGCTGAACCATCATGGGGCTGCTGGTGACCACTAGATTGTTGCAGCTGCCTTTTCCAATGGACTTGCACTGAGGCCCAAAGCCAAGAGCCCCTAAAAACAAATGAATCAGGTTAGCTTTCATGTCCCTTACATCAGAAATCAATAAATACACACATGTGCACACTTTTATCAGGACCCGTCTTTAGAGACAGTCCTTGGATCTTTTTTTATTTTTTAGTATTGGTGATACCAAAAAGCTCCCTCCAATTGCAATGAAAAAGCAATGATGCTACAACAGAAACTCATCTATAATCACCACTTACACAAAATGTGCTTGCATTTTGCTCCTTCTCTGTAGAAGTGCCCAGTGATATTAAGAATCATTTCATCATCTCCTTACCTAAAGAGTTAAGGTGGTAAGTAGATGGGATTACTAACATCAAGCTAAGTTTTTTCTAGACTAACTAATATCTTGAAGCACCCATCAAGGAAAGTTGATGCTGCTGGTAGAGAAAAAAACAAACGAACTTGTTTAACTGGTTTACTTCATTCCAGTTCTGGCCTTGCTAAAAGCCTCTTTCAAAGGATATAATCTGGCTGCATCTCTCCACTCTGTACTTCTCCTCTTCATCCCAATACACTGTCATTGGACATATACCCAGTTTTCAAAAAATAAGGATGAGAAAGCCACAAACAAAACATTCATTCTAATTAGACATAGATTTTTCATTTCATTAACAACAATCTTCGAACCTAGTAAAATCTGGTACATACCCAAAAGGGAAAGTAAAAAAAAAAAGAAAGAAAAAAGAAACCCACAAGAGTCTATGTCGTTAGGGAAAAGTGAAATGCAAAGAGAAGAAAGGAAAACACTGTCATGACTCACTTACAAAAACATAATAATTGTTGAATCATTCTAGACATTCTTTTTGCATGGGTGTATTTTTTCAAACCTTTTTTTTTTTTGCAAACTACCTGGTCAAGTCTCACTCTGTTCCTATTTCAAACAAACAAAAATAAGTATGATCTCAGTTTTTAACAAATGAAGTTCTAAATTTTTCTCACAAAATTTCCCGTCTTTCTCATTGATATATTTGGGATCAAAGTGGGTGGAAAAGCATCCCTATAACTTTCCTTAGTCCTAGGGGGTATAATTTCCCATTTTGTTTTCCCAAAAATTAAATCAGTAGCCCCCAAAATGACTGTCATCTTCTGTAACATCCTCTCCCAAGAGCCCACAAAACTGAAGAATAAACAAGATCTTAGATCAATCACTGTGCTCACATTAATGAAACCAGATCTTAAAAATGCTGGGAGAGTAACAACATCATTAGCTGGTAGAAAACCTGGTATATAGTCCAGCCCACTGGAAAAGTAAAATCCAAGTAGTAATTGATTTGCCCAAGGTCACAAAGGGATTTATGAACAGAGCAGAAATAGATTCCACCAGGATATATTTTCATGGCACCTGGTTACTTAAAGGTGCTAGATGCTTCATTTGCTCTGTGGATACTTTCCAAGATCATTAGCTCTGAGAGAAAAGTCTCCAATTTTTTTTAAGATACTCAAGCCAGAACCTTCCCTCTACCTCTTTCCCTGCAGCTTATATCTGATGCATCTTCTTGTGCCTTGAAAGGTCAGTTATAGAGGGTCAATCTGTCTTCATAACTCATAACACTGTACCATAGGGTTTCATGTCATTATTAAGAGTAGTGGATACGTTTTTATGCAATAACCATAAACTCAGTATCTTAACAAATTCCAACAAACCGCATGCCATTGCTTTCCAAATCCTCCTTTACCTAAAGGCAACGTGATGGTTCATAGCCTAGTCCAGTAAAAAAGACACTCGAATTCTCTACCCAGGTAAGGATGGGTCCTTATCAGTCACAGCTATTAAAAGCAACATCAGCCCTGTCTGGGTGGCTCGACTGGTTGGAGTGTTGTCTCACACACCAAAAAAGTTCAATCCGGATCAGGGCACACACCTAGGTTATGGGTTCCTTCCCTGGCTGGGGTGCATATGGGAGGCAACCGATCAATGTTTCTCTCTCACATCTCTCTCTCTCCCTCTCTTCTCTCCTCCCTCTCTCACTCTCTCCCCGCCACCCCGCCCCAGCCCCAGCTTCCTTCCTCTCTCTCTAAGATCAATATCCTCAGGTAAGGATTTAAAAAAAAGCAACATTAGATGTCAGTATTCGGCGGGGGGGGCGGGGGGGGGGCTGGGATGGGAGTAAAAAACAGAAAACTGTACTTGAACAATTATTAAAATAAAATTAAAAAACTGAAAAAAAAGATGTCAGTAGTCTCTCAAATTTAATGTCATGTATTCATCTAAGCAACTCACTCACTTCATGCCTACTTCCACCTTAGTAAAAAGGTATTAATATCTACCTCTAAAACAAACACATATTAGCATCAAGAACAGCACACCCAAGAAATACTACTTGGTGGCAAAACATATTAAGATATTCTTACATCAAATCTAAGATGCCATATATTATAAGGCATACCATTATTTTATGTACCAGTAAGAACTTGTGATGAGCTGTAAATTAAATCAGTGCATGGTGTTGAGGTTTCAGAGATGCTCTGGTGTAAAAATACGCACACCTTAAATGGGTAAGTACCAATATTATGGCTGAGGAATTTCTAACCCTTGTCTTGCTCATGATCTTCTCTGCCTAGAATGCTCTTACCCTAACCTGTCTACTTAGTGCACACCTCTGCATGTTCAAAGCCTCAATTCAAAGGTCTGACTCCCCCCACTGACTCTTCACCACACCCACTGCACACTGGAAAGGTAGGACTAATTCTTCTTTTCATTTCCCTGCAGTCTCTCACAACACATCTCCCACAAAACCTTCAGGGAACTGAAATGTTTACATGCCTGTCATCTTCTCCCCTTTTATACTTTACTGCTCTTTAAAAGTAAAGCTCTTGTTTAAGGAATCTTTGCTTCCTTAGTACCTAGCCCAGAGCCTGAACAGAACACAAACAATAAAGTCTGTCAATGAAGTTAAGTAGAAATGAACGAATGATGCAAATTAAAACCACAATGAGATACCACTTCACAATGGTCAGAATGGGCATCATACACAAACCAACCAACAAACAAGTGTTGGTGAGGTCGTGGAGAAAAGGGAACCCTAGTACACTTTTGGTGGAATTGCAAACTGGTGCAGCCACTGTGGAGAACATCATGGAATTTCCTCAGAAAACTAAAAATGGAATTGCCTTTTGACCTGGCAATTCCACTGCTGGGATGATACTCAAAAAATCCTGAAACACCAATTCAAAAGAACCTATGCACCCCAATGTTCATAGCAGCACAATTTACAACAGCCAAGTGCTGGAAGCAACCTAAACGCCCATCAGTAAATGAGTGGATCAAAAAACAACAGTACATTTACACAATGGAATACCACACAGCAGAAAGAAAGAAGGAGCTCCGACCCTTTGCAACAGAATGGATGGATCTGGAGAACATTATGCTAAGTGAAATAAGCCAGGTGGTAAAAGGCAAATACCATATGATCTCACCTATAAGTGGAACCTAATCAACAAAACAAACAAGAAAGCAAAATACAAGAGATATTGAGATAAAGAACAAACTTACAGTAACAAGGAGAGGAGGGAAGGGGATAATGGGGAAAAAAGGGGAAGGGTAGTCAAGGAACATGTATAAAGGACCCATGGACAAAGCCAAAGGGGGGTGGAGTCCAGGGTGGTAGGTGGGGAGGGGTGGAGTGGGGGTAGTAGTCAGGGGAAAATGGAGACAACTGTACTTGAACAATATAAAACAAATTTTTAAAGAAATAAATGAATGAAAAGATAGTTATATACAGGAATATCAAATACTGACAGATTATTTCCACCAAAACCCTCCTAGTTTTCTTTTTTTAAAGGCACTGCTGTTTTTCAGTAATGAACTCCAACTAAGTCCATCCTTTGACACATTTCCACAGGACTGCTAACTTCCCAGCATCTCCATCATTTTTACTATATTACCCCCACTCCCAAATACACTGGTCACCTTGAACTCCATCTACTATAGAGGAGTGACAGCTTCTGGCAAGTGTCACATATGGCATCCCTGAAGCCTTAAGCTAAATGGTAAATTTGTTGGGAATTGGCAATGTTTGCGACACAGCTGTGAGAATGTTCTAGAAAATGGCATCATTTGTCTCAAAGATTGAGGCAAACAACAGTTTGACCTTGGGCCACTGGGTTCAATGTAACCGTCTAATTTTATTGTCATAATTCTAGACAGGAGGAATACCTTCAGACTACTCAAAACTGTGCAGTATGTGAAGTGTGGGCTCACCAGTCTGCCTAGGATGCACCCCGCACTCTGCTAGTTGCGCTACTTGGCCATACTACTTAAACATTTGTGTGCTTCATCTCCATGTCTGTGTCTTCTCATATGCACATTGTCTAGCACATAGTAGGTACTCAATGTATTAGCAGCTACTGTTACATTTGTTGTTATTATTGTTCATGACTGTGATCACATTATTTGCTCCATTCACCTTCCTGAAATAAAACAGTTCTTCACAATTCCTTGCATGCAACAAGGTAGTAAATGATTCTATTTAATTCTCTACTTATTTCCAATGTTCTATCTACTTTGAGTCTGAAGCCAATTTTTTTTAAGCCAGGTGTCACCACAGATAGAAAAAAACTTTCCAACTGGCCAAGTTAGAATGTTCCTTGGCTTGTCATTCCCTGAAAACAAACTGTATAACTTTTCTGACTACCAGATGTGCCAACTATGTGTGCACTGGTTTTCATTTTTAAATACCACTTTTTAGTGACTGCACAATGTTTTTAAAAAATATGTTTATTGCTCAGATAAGGATCTGAGTGGATGGCATTCTGAGTACCACATATATTCTGTCCAAAATCACTGCATGTCTTTAAAAAAATTCAAGTGCATAGAATAAACCTCCCAGAGGAGCAAATAGTGTGCAAAATATATCTGTTTATGGTACTTTTTTTTTTGTTATGGACTCTCTCAAGACTGGCATCCTAAGTAACACACTTTGGAAAAAACACATTAAAACATGAAGAATGAGCACATGAATGGGAAAGAGATGGTAGGATGTAGA